ATATATATCACCTTTTATTTGTTTTAGAAATCAAAGGATTCAATCCCAACATTAACAGGTATATCATGAGAATAAGCTGTACAAGAGAATTCTTGAAGAATCTTCCATTTCTTCAATATACATACATACATATTGAGATTTCATATTGGCATATATATATATATATATATATATATATATATGCCAATGTGAATTCTCAATCAATTTTTCGCATCATAANCCCGGTTCAATTATGATGCGAAAAATTGATTGAGAATTCACATTGGCATATATTGAAGAAATAGAAGATTCTTCAATATATGCCAATGTGAATTCTCAATCAATTTTTCGCATCATAATTGAACCGGGATGGCCAACCGGTCATGTCAACTGATATTTATTTTAGTAAACCTCTAGTTTACTTGTGGCATGTGATTCCATCACCATGCTTATACTTGTGTAGTACAAATATAAAGAAAAGCCGGATAAGCTTTCATATTTACCCGGTATGATTATAGTAATATGAAGATATTCAATCTTCCTTTATTTATAGTCTCAATATGTTATCTACTCTGGCTAATACATTTGAAACTCAAAATATTTATTTGAGACTTAATAAAATATTAATGTTATGAACAAATTAGCTCTTCCGAAGCTCTTAATTAATTTTTTACTACAAGATCTTTTGTCACACCCTCATATGGTGTCTCCTTCACGGAGAAAATCATATCATAATAATTGTCATGGTCAAAATCATTATAAGCAAAATCTTTTCTTGCTTTAATTTTGCCTTTAATAACTTTTTATAAGGCACGACAAAATATTTTTGGCGCATCAGATGTATGCGACCAATGACATATTCATGTAACCACACAGTAATGTTCATTATCTTACTTTCTCTCAAACCTCCCGTAGATGTGAGTTGTAGTATTTATTCAATCATACATAAGCACATTCTTATGCATAATTTTTATCACATATATATTTTCACATTCATTTTCAGGAATGAGTCTGCATTTGTAATGCTTATCATAAGTTGCATTCTTTCAAAAAATGGACTATAATCGTCTGAACGTGTCTCATTTTTACAGACCGTATTGATTCACATTTCCTTCACCTTTGAAGGATTATTTTGAGAACAATTATTGTTCTCATTTTTAGAATTATCATAATGATGACTATTATTATTTTGGTCTTTGGCACGCCCACGTTCATTGGTCAACCACTTGTCTTTATTTAGATTTACTATGCATCGCTATCACATTCACTTTAAGAATGGAGCAAATCAAGTGGGACTAGCTTCATGCTTTTTCATGAAAATACATTATTTTTCTTTAGTCATCATTATATAATCAATGTGGTGCATTTAGACTCAAACTCAATGCCTTATCCACAAAAAGGTATGTTAAGCCATAATACGTTGTGACTCAATCCCAAGCGTCTTATTATCATGGTGCAGTAGGACTTAAACCTAATGTCTTACCCTCAAAGTACGATAGGACTTGAACCCACCGTCTTACCCTCGACCAATAGCGTAATAGGCCAAAGTGCAACTGAGACTCACCCTTAAGCCTTTAAAAATATTACCATTTTTATTAGTTATAAAACTAAGCTCATATATGTTTTACACAAGGCATAACAATAAGTATCTATTTACTAGTAACGAAGGAATCAAAATTCTTCAGATCACTTTGCAAAAGCTGGCGTAGCTTCCTAATTTATGTACATCTTTGGTCTCTGGTTTAGTACGTAACATTTGACTGCATCATTATATGCTTCTGATTCTCATATAAGATCTAACCTAAACATGAGCTGAAAGAGATCAAACTAAACTTACAATAAATATTAGAAGAAAAAAAACAGTAATAATTAATTTACATCTAAGTATTTTAACTTCATAAAGTAAAACACTTAAGAATATGCATGGACTTTTAAGAAGAAAATACTTAGTATTGGGAACTTTCCTTTGAGAAAAAGGAACAAGAAAAATGAATTAGTTTAAAAAAAAAAGGATCGATGTACTGGTCTCCTCAACCTTGTTATTCCTTTTATTATATTTCATACCATTCCTTGAAGTTGCTAAATGGAAAAGAAAAACTCATCTCTTCCAGAGGAATATTAGGCACAACCGAAATATGCTTTTTCTGATGTAAGACAATTTTGTAAACGTATGTAACTCAATTGGATAGAGACTCGTACTGATAACGTGTTAAGCAACTTAGCTCAAAGTAATAATATAAAACAAGAAAATAAACAAGAATGTAGGGAGCAAGAGATGAGAAATTCTTATTTCTTCCACGTATTCAAGTGTATACAATGTGATGCCCAAATCCTCTATTTATAGGATGACATTTAGGTGGTATTAACTATTGAGATCATGAGAGAAGATCATGGAGGGAGTTATGGAGGTGTGGGAGTTACAACAATAATGGTAAGAAGTAGTGAGAGGTTGATGGAGAAGAGTAATGGGAGTAACTTATTTAGGAGTTATAGACATCCACTACATAATATAATATTTCATAACAAATAAAACTTTGGTATCATCAATAGAATACAATGCAATAAGAAAGTTAATGAGCAAACCACAGCAAAATGCTCCATGTGCAGGTTCAAACATTTCAAAAACTGATAAGGAAGTCATGAAGTTAAAGAAAAACAAATAATAATGAGATATCAAACCAGTTAGTTTCTCATTTAATACTGTAATCAGAAGAATTATCTCTATGCTGCCATCAGCTATTTACATGTCTGTACAGCAATCAGTTTTTACCCCAATACATGTTATCCACTGTCAGGTGAAGGAAGGCCTCAACTTTCATCTTAATCTTCGACAGACCTTCTCATTTCCAATAATGATGGTGTTATTCAAGTTAATCTGCATCCAAGCTTCTTTGTACAGTCGAAATTGCTCGCTAGTAACTTAACTAGTGTCCTCCAAGAAAATGAGGCATCAGCATTATAGTAAAGAAACCTGTACATGGATTATGGTTGGAATCAGAAAGCCTTGCATAGGCTAGACTTCAAGTTAGACGAACATTGTTCCCTTATTGGACTACTTGTAACACACAATCTGCTCCTTTTTGGTTCAGATATCCTGCAATGCAATATCGCTGCTGCAAGCACATCAACTAAGCCAGTGTCGTCGGATTCTTCAGATTCTCCAGATTCTCTATTCAAACTTTCACACCTTAAATCTTCGGTTTCCCCAGTGTTAGATTTACTGCATCTCTTCATTCCATCTGTTTCTAGTCTAGAGGTAGTTGTTGGTATTTGGCTTGGTGTGCCCGAGAAATGCTTTGGCTTCAACCTGACAGACACTGTCTTCAAAGTTCGCTCAGTGTAGAACAGCATCCATGGATGACCTGAAATGCATCTTAATCATAAATTGGAAAATAAAGCAGCCAAACAATCATTATATAGTATTTGATAAAGCTGATCAAGATAAAATTTAACTAAGCAAACGAAGGATGCAGAAAAAGTAAAGGTGGTTCATCTGCCCGTGAACCAGTGCAAAGGTAACAGAAAATTGTTAACAAGTCAATAGCTTTAATTAATCAGATACTTCTCCATAGCAAATTTCCTGTATGATCAAAACAAAATACAAACTGAGAATTGTCAATCCAGTTACCTACTTATTAAAGCAGTATTCAAGGGAACCAGTCAATAACAAATAGAATAATATGCTTACTTAATACTTCTTCTGCAGTTATCCTTGCAGCAACATCCCTCGTGAGAATCCGCTCAAGAAGATCTCGTGCAGGTTTAGACACAGATTGCCATTTTTCAGAGTGAAAATCAAGTTTCATGCTCTTAATTGCCTCAAAAAGAGCATCCAAAGAATCCCCTTGAAACGGAAGAACACCAACTAGTAGAGCATGTAAAAGAACACCAGCACTCCAAATATCCGTCTTTTTCCCGTAATCCCCTATAAGTACTTCAGGGGCCACATAAGCAGGACTTCCAGCCAAACCACTTAAACTCTGACCTGCATTATAAAAACAACACTATAAAAAGGTGGAAAGCAGAGCTAAGAGGAATATATCCCTCCTATACATTGCAGAGTAACAGATATAACCACGTTCTTCAGAAAAAAGGAGCAAAGAATAAAATGAAAGGAAAATAAACCTAAACAATTTTTTCATGAAGAAGTCTATGGTCCCATACTGTCCTCTCTAGAATCAGCACCATCAACATATAGATTTGACTAACCCAAGAAAATATTACTACCACATTTTGACATTACTTCAGTTGTATTTTTTCTTTTTCCAGGTTTACACAAAAAAAATTGTGTGAATCAACGGCATTCAAACAGTCAGGATACAAATAAATATTTGACTTGCTCAAAACTTCAAGCATAAAGGGTAACTCTATTCAGATGATTTACTATATTCACGATCATAGAAGTTCACTTGAGGTATGCCTTGAAGAGAGGTGCAACTAATCACCATCTACCAAAAGGGGTAAGCAAAAGTCCTGAGAAGTGTGTGCATTTTTCCAGTGGTTATTTGCCTGTAACTTTTTCTTTTTCATCAGGGAATACTTTTTACCCTTTAGGGAGTTAGACTTCAATAAATTCGCACTTCAATTTTTATTTTTCAAATTAATAATTTAGTCAACATCTATAGCCCATATACTTTGAGTTGGTTCACTATGCAAAGGGAAAAGAGAGGAACTGTGAGAAGCTTTTGGCCAGAAACTGCTATCAAGAGAGCAAGACTAAATTTTCAAAATCCGCAACTGCAGAGCATCATAGTGGGGAAGGACGTGAAATCATCCAAGCACTTGCACCTTTTTTTATAACCAAGAAATTTCCCAAGAGCGAGTGGTGGACGGTTCAAAGCTCGGTGGATTTTGGGCCTGCCCCTCTACCCTTCTCCACTTAAATGCCACGTTTTCGTATGCAGCATGGCAAACCCTTGACGCCTGCCTAACCTACGATGCACTATTACCACTAGGCCAAAGCCCGGGGGCTCAAGCACTTGCACCAATTAATAGAGTAGCTAGGGGAAGGCTCACATGTAGGTAGGTAATCTCAAAATAACTTTCTAAGATTAGAGTTCCCAACTTATCAGCATAGTGAACACATCTTTTGAAGAAAGAAATAATCACAACAGATATCCCAAAATTCAGCATCAGAGCCACAAATAAGTACACAGACCAACCACATAATTTTTGAGTTAAAAAAACTAGAACATAAACTATTAGAAACAAATCACAGTTGGAAGAGATGAAACGGAATCTAGGCAGAGGCATTGCCACTAAGATAAAACGAGCAAAATTTATCATAAAAATAAACCATCTGGTAAACATGACAGTGCATAAGTAACACAAACAAGCAAGAGGTAACATATATATTGGGTTCCGGTGTAAGTGTTTTACCATTGGCAATCCTCATAGCCAAGCCGAAATCAGCAAGCTTTATCTTCCCAGAAGCAGTTAAAAGGATATTCTCAGGCTTAATATCCCTATGTACAACTCCCATATCATGACAATACTGTATAACCAACATCAAATCCTTGAATATATTAGCAGCCGTATGCTCCGAAAACCTACCCTCCTTCGTCATCCGGTCAATCAACCTCCCACCGGAACACAACTCCATCACCAAATGAAAACTTTCCCCATTCTCATACACAGACTGCAATGTCACCACACCCGGGTGTCCCGATAAGTGCTGCATTATCTCCACTTCCCTATGAACCGTCTCTTCGCCTTTAGGCAATGTCTTGCAGGCGAATTCAACCCCGGTTAACTTACTCCTACACATAAAAACTGACCCAAATTTACCTTTCCCTAATGCTTCCCCCATTACATAATCATCTTCAATCTTATTCTTCCTACCCATCTGTGTGGCTGCATCTATACATCCTATTTTTCTTTTCAAACCTCGGGTACACAAACTAATCGACGAACTGCCACCTGGTGCCGGAGCAGTTGCAGCAGCAAGCCTAATACTAGTTCTACTACAAGATCCTAGGCCAACAGCATCATCTTCCTTACACCTCTTTTTCAACCTTCTAGAACATTCCACTAATGAAAAATGGGTTTTTTTCAAATTCGATATCATCGAATCATGGGTTGAAGTTGAATCCCATATTTCTCGCTGTTGTTTATTAGGGCACAGAATTTCACATCCTTTTCTCTTCTTCCTCATCAATCAATAAATCGATCACAGCATATATATACGTCAAATTAGGGCAAATTAATCCAAACCCAATTCACATATCACTTATCCGGTGACTCTGAAAAGCTTTCACCGGAAAAAAGAACACGGAATTGAGGGAAATATTGGGATCAATTGATTTGGGTTTCTAGAGAGTGTTCGCAAAAAGAAAAGGATATATAGAGAGAGTAATTTTCGATCTATTTATAAGAGCTTAATAGGTTATTTCTCCGTGTCCTGCTTAAATGAGGATATTTATTAGGAGTCAAAAAGTATGATTTTTTATATTTTTTTTATTACACAAAAAATATGTAAATTATTCTCCTAATCCATAGGTTTGAAAGCAATAATCTTTCAATAATTTAAATTTATTTCTAATTTACATATTTTACCGATTCTAAGCATCTCTTTTGAAGCGTATAGAATATTTTTTATCAATTAACTAAATAATCACAAATAAGTAATTGGATACTGATAATAATATAATCGTAATTAAGTGTTTCTTTTTTATGTCATTAAACTTTTATTGCTTTTATTATCAACGAATAAAAATAGATCAGAGTAAATTTTATTTGAAAGATATTACTTTTATTACTTGATAACAAAACGTTGAAAAATATGGTTTTTATGAACTTTTATTATGGATATACATTCCTTGTACAGTTAGGTTTATTAAAGGAAAGTTTCTTAAGAAAAGTAATTACTATATGGTAGCTCGATTTCTTTTGCTAAAAATTAGCACATTATTCTTGAGAACAAGATTTTATTCTTCTATAAAAAATAGGAGACTTCCTTTATCCCAATTGTATTACTATATTTTTTAGATTAAAAATTTCTACAGTTTTCTCTCTAGATATTTTCTTTATATAACTATTTTACGACATGGTTTAATTTATCATTGGATGGAATCATATCATAAAATCCATTCAGAAGTACTGCTAGAGTTTGGTGTAAATATGCTTCCTTTTAAGAGAAAAGGCACAATTAAGAATTATCGAAACTGCTCGACAAATTTTTGATTTTTTTTTTTTTTGGCATAAAGCAAGGCTATTTTAATTAATTCACTTGATTTTAGTTATTTTTCATTTAAATAAGTCTTCTTTATCAAAATGTTTTATTGTTGTATCCATTAAAAAAATATTCAAGTTTTTGAAAACGGAAAAAGAAGCGTTTTAGGTTTGTTTAAAATTACGACAATTTAAATATGTCCATAAAGGATTTAGAGTCGCCACCAAATAAAAATACTGATTTGGTTATGTTTATTAAGCCACCTAATATGGTCATAAGAAAATCATTAGTTGTTTTCAGAAACAAAACCTTTGAACTTTGATTCCCAATGATTAATACATTCTAAGCTTGGGTCATGAAGACTGTATGTGTCAACCACACATTAAATCACATACTAATTAACAGCTTGTTTGGAGGGTTGTTCCTTGTTGTATCGTATCGTATTGTTATCCCAAAACAATGTTTGTTTTGATTGTTCCAATAAAATTGGTTGTATTGTATTGTTAAATCCATTGTTCCGGAACAATGAAAAGTACCATTTTTTGAAACAACCGATTTGGTGTGGTGGGATTATTTCCTATTTTTCTTTCCAATCATGCCCTAACTTATTACTCTACAATTCTATTTTACCCTTTATCTTTTTTTCTATTTTAACTCCAAATCTCCAACCTATAACCTACTTTGTTTTTTTTCAGACTAATGTTAAAGGTGTTTTGCCGCCTTCTGTTTTATTTTTTCTCCTAATTTCCTTTTAACTCAATTCTAATTTGTTGTGCTCCTTTGTTTTGCCTTCTTCTGTATCGCTCCTTTGTTCTGCTTTCATAAGGTGTTTTGACTTCTTCTGTTTTCTTTTTCTAAATTATTTTTATACATAATTTTTGATAAATTTAATATTTAAACAATTGAGGGTATTTTAGTAAACTTATCAGTTACAGTACAATACGATACAGTCAAACCAAACAATAAAATATTATTTAACAATAACAAACAATACAATATATCCAAACATTGTATTCATAAAACGATACGGTACAATACGATACAATACAATACAATACATTATAAAACGATGGGGAACAATGATCCAAACAGAGTGTAAGGTCACGTTGTATAACATTAATTATATATTATGTTATTTGGTAAAGGCATAACAACTAACAAGAAAAGCAAACAAGCAAAAATGATAAAGTAAAAGCTACAAAAGGAGAAGGAAAAAAAAAAGGAAAGTGAAACAACCAACTAAAACCAAGTATAAAGGAGAAAATTTCGTATTAAAATATGCATTAAAAGTGAGAAGCTATTTTGATATAGTCCTTTCTAGATGTGGCAAAATCAACATATTTTAAATAATTATTCAACTAGCTTACATACAAAACTATTAGGTTTATGATTTACTTGTCAAGTTGACCCCCGGACTGAATTGAATTCAAAATGGCTCGTCAATTATGTCAAAATAAGACAACATGATATGCAAAATGCAACTTAAACCCAAATATAAAATACATCAAATTTGGCCATCAGGAACTATTTAAAAATACATTAGGTTTCACTTTTTTTTTTTTTTCCAAAAGCAAAATAGGAAAGGAGGGGAGTGGAGACCCTACCTATTTTGACACAAGCAAAATTCGACTGTGTCGGATCATGCTTTCTTTATTGATTTAATCATTTTGATCCATCCAAATTCGAACTAATGCGTAATTTCGAAACCTTTTCTTTCAATTTTCTCTTCTCATGTGTTAGAATATCGAATTGTCATATATAGTTTAAAATTGTTGGATTTTGTATTTTTTGGCTTCTAGTATAGTACGTCACGTCATTAAATTGTTATAGAAAATATTTTTTTTTTTGGTCGAAAGTAAAACCTTTATTCCAACCTTTTTTGCAAATATACACCATCTGCTCTGTATGGACTTTGGAGCAGATCTCAAAATAAATTAAAAAAACCATTTGCAATATCCTATACAACTCTTCTGTTGCTATTCTATTATAAAGCATATAACTATCCTATAAACAACTAGGATAGTTGTTTAACTTTTCCAGTGGTGGCTTCCATTTTTGTTGTTTTTGTCCAGTAACATGAATTTGGACGGCAATGTCCTTTGCTCTGTCTTGTAATGTCTTCTTGCATTGTTGAAATCTTCTACTATTTCTTTCCATCCATATGTTGTACATCACAGCAACAAACACAACTCCTATTATGGCTTTCTTTGGGTTTCTATTATTCACATTCTTGATTAACCAGTTAACTTCTTCTTCCCAGTCTTGAGTTCTTCTGTGATATCCAAGCCATGTTAACATGCTTTCCCATAGTTTCTTTGAGTATGAACATTCAAAGAATAAGTGTTCATGAGTCTTAGTCAAGTCTCTTTCACACAGAACACATCCTTGTTCAACCTGAATTCCCTATTTCAACAATCTATCCACTGTTGCCAATCTTCTATGCATTGCCATCCACACTATGAACTGTTGCTTTGGCAGACTACCATTGATAATTGTTATGGATTTCCATCTCACTTTTGGCCATTCTGGATTGCTTTTTACATATGCTGTTTTGATGCTGAACTTCCCCTTCTTTACACAAGTCTGCATTCTTTGCATGTCATTTTCCCACCATTCTCTTGCATTGAATATCTTCCTTACAAGCCAACTAGCTTGTTTAGGAACTTCCATACTTGCTATATCTTGCTTCTTTATATATTGGCCATGTATCCATTTTATCCAGAGTTTATCCTTCTTATTCACTAATGCCCATAGTAGCTTTGTTATTGCTGCCTTGTTCCATGCTTCATAGTTGATTATGTTTAGTCCTCCTGCTTCTTTTGGCTTACACAAAGTCTCCCAGGATATAGGATTTCTCTGGGTGGTGTCATTGCTCCCAGTCCAAAGATACCTCCTGCATATGCTATCAACCATCTTTACAATCTTCTTAGGGATGAGGAACACTTGAGCCCAATATGTCTGCATTTCAAACAAGACACTCTTGATGAGCTGTAGTCTGCCTGCATATGAAAGAAACTTAGAGGTCCAGCTTCTAATCTTGTCCACAATTTTTTCCACCAAGGGCATACACAGTTGTATGCTGATCTTTTTTGCAGATAATGGTACTCCCAAGTATTTGAATGGTAAGGTCCCTTCTGATAACTACAACTCAGCTAACATTTTATCCTTGAATCCCTTCTTTACTCCTGCTATATATAATGAACTTTTATCCATATTAGCATGCAATCCTGAGACTTCAGAGAATTGTTGGAAACATCTGATAAGCATCTTCATGGATATTTCATCAGCCCTGCAACACATAAGAAGATCATCTGCAAAGCAGATGTGGACAATCTGCAGTTTCCTACATTTAGGATGAAAATTAAAGTTTGGTATTCTTGTCAGAGCTTTCAGATATCTATTGAGGTACTCCATGGCTAGAACAAACAGGTAAGGTGTCATGGGGTCCCCTTGCCTTAAGCCTTTCCTTGCTTCAAACTTCTCAGTGAGACCTCCATTCAACAGTAGTGAGTAGCTTACTGTACTAACACATGTCATAATCAGTTCCACTAGCTTTAAGGGCACACCAACCAGTAATACTGTTCTCAGAAAACCTCATTTTACAGAATCATAGGCTTTCCTAATGTCCACCTTTATCATACACCTTGGTGATACATTCTTCTGAGTATATCCTTTGATTAGTTCATGTGCCATTATCACATTGTCTAGTATATTCCTTCCTTCAATAAAAGCAGACTGAGCAGGTCCAACCAGGTAATCCACCACCATTTTCAGTTTATTTGTTAAGAGTTTAGCTATGATCTTGTATAGTGTTGAACAACAAGCAATAGGCCTAAACTCATCAACAAGACTGGGATTTTTTACCTTTGGTATCAATGTGACAGTTGTGCAATTTACCTCCTTCATTAGCTTTCCTTTTTGAAAAAAATTCTGCACAGCATCTGTTACTTCTTGCCCTATGATTGACCTGTACTCCTTGAAGAATTCTGCAGGATATCCATCAATGCCTGGTGCCTTATCATTAGGCAGGTTCCTCACTACTTGGCTGATCTCCTCATTAGTGATTGGAACTACTAGTTGCTGCTGTTGAATCACTGTTAAGCATGGCCCATCTCTTGCTATAGTTAGATCAATTCCTGGCATTTGGTCTGCTGCTATCCCCAGTAACTGTTTGAAGAATTGGATGAACTCCTGTTGAATCAGCTTTGGT